GGATAAAACACATTGACAAGGGCTCAGATAAATAAAATGCTGATAGGAATTTGAACAGTAAAGGCCAGGCTCAAGATGTTTCAACTGGGAACAAAGACTGCATTGGACTAGACTAGAAGCCATGTGTGTTACATTTTTGCAAAGATTTGTTGACATTTTATCCACATCCTGAGATTTTTGTGGGAGACTAAGATTAAGGGCAGTGGACTAACTGAACTGGTAGAGAAAATTTCAAGGCAGGACTTACAGCTCAGAGTTTTACTTGCATCTCAGAGGAGACTTTGGACTCAGACTTTTTAGTAGTATTGGAATTATTAAGACTTTGAAGACTCTTAGAGATGAACTAAATACATTTTGTATAATGAGATGGACATGAGATTTTTTTGAAGGCCAAGTGTGGAATGTTGAGATTTAGATCTAAAATGTCTCCCCCAGAGTATCAAGTGTTCAGAGGTGGTGCTTTTTGGAAGTATGGGGGCAGATTAGAGAGACAGAAAAACACAGGACAAAACCTGATGACAGACATTGTAAAATCATCACATGCTTATCCATAGCTAACAACTGTATCTGTGGCTGAGGACTGTAAAATCATCATATGCTTATCTGTGTACCATATATTTAAGAAAATGCATCTTACTGCATCTTTATAAAAGTGTTACTCACATTTACTGTATGCTGACCTTGTTCCCTTTTCAGAAATAGTGGCTAAGATCCTGATTTGCCTAGATTGTACCAATCAGAACAATTATTTTTAGCAACCAGCTTACCCCTATAAATATGAAGTATACCTCAAACTCACTGGGCATCCCTAGTGGGATGCCCCCTGTCTTGAAGCCCACTCTGCTGCTAAGATAACTCTTTTGTTTTCTCTCCATTTGGCATACTTCACATAAACTTTCACTTTGCACTGTATCAGTCTTGACTCCTCCATTTTCAGCTAAAAGCCCCACTTCTTCATTCTTCGTTGAACTGAAGGCAAGGACTCAAAGAGAGGTGGAGTGTCATTACAGGCGACTCCTAACTCCCTCCTCAGAGACTCCCCACTGGACACATCAGAAGATGATTTGATCATCAGGCTCCTGTACTCACCCATGGATTAATCCATTTTTGAGCTCATGTTCATGGCTGAATGTGCTGTTAAGAGGTAGGGCCGGGTTGAAGGTGAGTCATCCAGGCCATGACCTGAAAGGCCTAGTGTGTTCTCATTTCCAGATCCTCCCTGCTTTCTCTGCTTCCCTGCTGCCATAGGTTGAACAGTTTTCTTCCTCCTTGCCTTCCACCATGCTGTTTCTGCCTTGGGGTAAGACGACCATGGACTAAAACTTTTAGCCACAATAATCCTCTCTTTTTTAAAATTTCGAGCATCATGTATTTTGTCCCAGTGACTGGAAAGGATGTTTAGCAACATTCCAGCCTCTATCTATTCAATGTCAGTGGCTGCAGAGATTTCTACCCCAGTTATAACAACCAAAGATGTCTGCACATTGTCAAACGTCCTCTGAGAGACAAAGTTTCCCCAGTGGAGAACCACTGGTTCAAGGTTTAACAAAAATATCAGCTCATAGTTTCTTTGGCAGTACTGCCCCCTCAAAATCTTAGTATGCTTGTGATCAATATGCTTCCATGAACAGAACCATGGCCAGAGTTCTTTCCTAAACAAAAATGTTCATGTCTTATTTATTTGTTTGCTTCTACATGTTTTGCTACTGCACAATATGATCTTTATCGTTCTAGTTTCTAAAATCATTTCTCTTGCTTTTAGTCACTCACCTCTCACTAGTTGGGTGGTAGGAAACAAGGAAGCTATTTCTGGACATTGAAAAGACTCATTCAGGGAGAAAACACCCATTATGATTTAAAAGGCAGATCTCTGAATTGGTGCCACATGTTAGGGCTGGTGTCCAGGCAGCTGTCCACTACAAATGTAAACTTTTCTATTAGTTCATTGATTGTTATAAAAGCATCCTAGTCATGGGATTAACTTCCTCATTGCTAAGGTGTAAAAACAGATGAAATGTCTTTTTTCCTTTTTGTTTGTCAATGATGAGCTGGGACAGCAAGTCCAAGACTGAACTGGCTACCTTCTAGGTAGGATAGGTAGAAGCTGAGTTACAGAGCTAAATAAAGTTAGGAAAAGAAGGGATGTGGGGAAGGGACAGAAACCTCAAGGTGGCAGAAGAGGTGGAACTAGAGGTGATAAACTGCTGAGGCCTGGAGTCTGTTGTGGGTGAGAGGTCACGGGGACAAGTTCCTTCAAAGAGGGCAGTGTGGAATGATCGCTATCTAACACTGAAGACAGCTCATTAATTTGAATCTTCACAAAAGCCATACGTACTTTAGTTTGCGAGCTTATAACACATCCTGCATTTAAAATTTGTATTTATATATTTTAGGCTTAGTAAAGGGAAAACTTAAAAATAATTAACATTTCATTCTAGCTATAAAATAATCAATTAAAATGATAATAACACCAAATAGCATCCATGGAGGAAATACTAAACACCATGCTAATATCCACACTAAAGGAAACTATGCTGTGGTTAAACTTATGTATACGTTAGCAGTGTATTAAGTACTGTATAAGGGTCTCACTCCTACTACAAGCAAAGCAATGAGTTTTCATCTTAGCAGGTGCAAAGCCAAAAGTACACAATCCATAGATAAAAGGGTGGAGTAAGTTTTATTAGTTACAGCAAGTAAAGACAGCAATGAGGTTAGTTGCACCAATACTCTCCCTATAAAAGGTGTTGGGGAGGTTTACTGGGGAGCCTATACACAGGAAAGCCTTGGTAGAGGCAGGCACATAATAGGCACATTCAGGTCAAGGTCATAGATCACATATTCAACAAAGAAAGATGGTGGACACATTTCTGGGTATGCTCAGTTTAAGGTCATAGACTGCATGTTCACAAAGGAAAGACATAGACATAAACACTTCCGGGGACACTCAATGCAGTATTATAATGAGCCCAGTTACTCTAGGTCACCTAAAACAATGAGTCAGAGAGTTTCTCCAAAGAGGTTTAAGTGAAACAAAAAGAAAGAACAACTTGAAGGTGCATTCACAATCTTTTCAAGGGCGGCAGCTTTTTCCCCCTTAAGGTTAGGGATTTGCCCCTAAAGGCACCTGCCTTGCTTAGCAGCCAACACTGTTATCTTGTTTCCTCCTACTGATGCCGCTGTGAGATAACTTTATCCTCACCATTCTTTTTATTTTTATTTTTATTTTTTATTAGTGCATCTTTGTAATACATAATGCTCACATACCTTGTGAGGTATTGGTATATGTATATAACACATCTTTTTTTGTTTTTGAAACACATCTTAATTCTTTTTTCATTTCCTTCCCATCTCCTTCCTCTCCTTCACTGCATCTTTTGGTCACCTTCCGTTTTGTAAAAGGACTATCTCCCTATTTCCTGTTATCTATTATTATGGCTGGTACCTAGATGTCCCCCCAAAGCCTCATGTGCTCATAGGTGGGGCTTTTTGGAGTCGGCTGAACCTAGGACATGTGATACTGGGATTAAGGGTGTGTGCTACCAAATTAGTCCACTTGTTGGAATTAGCATAGTTCTGGGTAGCACCACCCTAAAGACTGGTAGCCTGGATAGGATAAAAGGAAAAGACGGGATGACCGTTGCTGCTTGCTATCTTCTGCCTACTCTGCCATGGACTGTTCCTGGTCTGTGATGGCCTTTTGGTATGCTACTCTGCCTTGGGGCCAGCCAGTTATGGACTGAAACCTCTATAAAATGTGAGTTGAAATAAATCTTTCCTCCTTTAACTTTTGGTATTGGATATTTTGTCTTAGCAACAAGAAAAGTAAGACATCTATCTTTTCTTTTGCTTTTTATTTATATTTTGGGTTTCTCATATATGTGTCTGATTTATTTCACTTAGCATTATGGTCTCAAGGTACATCCATTTTCTACAAATAACTTAAATTTATCCTTCTTTATGAATAGTACTCCATTGTGTATAAATACCATATAGTGGAGGCTCAATGAGGTACACCCAAGGTGCTGAAGCTGGCCTATGGTTTAGCCAGTTCTCCAACAATTATTTATGCAATTCCTCTTGTTTGATACATGATTACTTGAAACTTGTGCAATCTTAACACCATGATGAACATCCTTATATACACAGCTTTGGCCACATCTCAGAATTTCTTGCTTAGTTTAAACTTCTAAGGGTGGAAATTACTAGGTCACAAAAAGAGAAGCTCTCTTAGCTTCTTGCAACATATTGCCAAAGGGAAGCAGACCTTTTCCCAAGGCTACTTTGGAGCTATGGACAAAACTATCCAATGGAAAAGGTGACACTAAGGAAGGATCTGGGGACTGTGACAAACACAGCCATTCTAGGTTTGAAGCTGAGCTACAGTCTGCTGACGTTCTCCTCTAAATGATGGTACTCACTCCCACCTAGCATCAGGAGGGAGTGTTTTATTGAATTTCCCTGCAATGCCATTATGCTCTGTAAACACAGAGTGGGGCAGATGCAGTGACCACGGGCTCCTATTACACCAGGTAAGTGTACATCTTGCTTCGTGGTTCCTCTTGGATGCCTATTATTTCAAATGTCAAATGCACTTTGCCTCCAGCCTTCTCGACCTTTAATTTTTAAATCTATATGCACTTTATTTATTGGATTTCTATGGGACTAGAGGGGAAATTTAATTCATATACTTCTGGTTCATCTCGATTTAACTTCACTGGATGGCTCAAACAGTGTCATTGCTTTTTCTTTTTTTAACAGTCTCTTTTCAGAGAGAAGATTCTCGATGGAAAGAATCAAACTAGGAAGGTGATGGCCTTGGGAAAGGGCAGGCTCCTAAGCATTCATTAAAATGTTCTTGCTGGTCGAGAGGTTGCAGTAAAATGCAAACAGTGGGTGAAGCTGGCTCTTTTCTTGGGTTTAATTAGCCTAATTTGGGAGCACACCTCCTCCACAGGGATGGCTGGGAAGCTCAGGGGCACCTCCCATTTTAAAACGTTCTTATTAAAAAAATTAATTGATGACATCTGTAACTCCCCAATTTGCCCTTTAATAAGATGAGGTAACTTAGCAAGTTGAGATAATTCTATCCCAAAGCAGCCCGAACTTGATATTTTATTAAGTCATTTCAACCTGGAAGTAGGTACATGTATCATTTTCATTAGGTTTCATTCTTTCTTCATTTTCCTATTTTTACTATGGAAATGTTGAAGCAACCCGAAAACTTGAAAGAATTGTACTGAGAACCCTCATACATGTAACACGTTAATCCTGCAATGGTGAACGTTTTACCCTGTTTGCTTTGTCACACATCGATCCATCTTACTAGGTCTGATTTTTAATGCATTTTAAAATAACTTGCAGACACCAGTGAACTTCATTTCTAAACATTTCAGCAAATCACTACGCAGGACTCAATATTTATTTATATTTTTCCTTTTCTATATAAAGTTGATGTAAGTGAAATACACAAATCTTGTACCACTCAAAAGAGTTTGATTAATAATCACCTGGGTAGCCAAATCCCATCAGGATTATAGAAAGTTCATCATTACAAAAACTTCTTTTATGCTCCTTTGCAATAGTCCCTCACAATCCCTTGCCCCAGACAATAACTGATTTGACTTTTTTCTCCTTTTTTGGTGGTACTTGGGATTGAACTCAGGGCCTTGTGCATACACTCTACCACAAAGTTATATCCCTGCCCAGCTGATCTAAATTCTATCACTATATATTAAATTTGCCTGTTTTAGAATTTCATATAAATGGGATCATACAGTATGAACAATTTTATGAGCAATTCTTCCTGCTCAGCACAATGTCACTCTGCATATAGCACTATTTTTTCAGTTGATGAGTAACTTGAATCCTTGATGACATCTTTGAAACATTTAGATTAGCCAATCTGAACCCCGCCCCAAATGGGAACTCCCCCCAAGAGGAGCTGTGGTTTCTCAAGGCTTCATTGAGTTGCATGGAGCTCTCTGTTGCTTGTAGCTACAGGCCTCCTGGTGAAGCAAGACTTATTTCAATTGATCTTTCTTGCCTTGAGTGTTAAATTGAAATTTCTCATCAACATGTGAAAAGGGAAATGGGAGAAATAATAAAGTAGAGGCCCTGCCAGAGTGCTATGAAGTGTGGTATGGGATTGTACTCCTTAATAAAGTCACATTTAGTGGGGATACTTGCCAGGAAAGTGCAGGCTGTGTTTTGGAAGGAATCTTCTCCACTCAAGTTGCTTCCTTGCCTCGCAGATCCACATTGGCCTGGGATTTTGTGTGCTGGGATTTTGCCTGTCTCCTGTTATTGCAGATGCTTGGCTTAAGGGTCAAGATGAAGAGTGCACTGTTCCCTACCCCCACCCCCATGGAGCAGTGAACCGGAAGCCCTGAGCCCTCTGTAGGAGGTCGGGGTGGAGCGGGGCATCAATAGATGGCGCCCTTCCTTGGCACCATGACCCAGCCATGGGTCCATCATTGGCTGAGACCAGGAACTCACCCGGAAAGGCTGCCTTCCCAAGTGACAAGACAGGGAAACTTCCCGAGCTTAAGGCTGCTTAGAAAGCTCTTGGCTGGAGGCCACCGGGAGCTGTTCAGCCCTTCTTGGAGTCTTTCCTCCAGAAGCAGTGACTCAGTGAAAAAAGGACGCTTGAAGCTGGTCCATGGTGACATATGCCTGTAATCCCGGTACTTGGGAGGCCTAGGCAGGAGGATTGTAACTTTGAGGCCAGCCCAGGCAATTTAGTAAGACTCTGTCTCAAAATAAAATTTAAAGGGCCAGGGATTTAGATCAGTGGTTCTGCTGCCTGCCTCGCAAACGCAAGGTCCCAAGTTTGATCCCTGGTACCAAAAATAAAATAAAATAAAATAAAATAAATAATAAAATTTAAAGAAGGGCTAGGGACATAGCTCAAGAGTAGAGTACTTGCCTAGCATATGCAAGGCCCTGGGTTAAATCCACAATAAAAAGGGGGGGGGCATGGTGCTTGATATGTACTTGGTATATATAAGTGTTGAGAGTCAGTGATATATGTCTGAGGTGGAAGGTAGGTCAGTTAGCCTGATCTGATCACTACACATTACATACATGTGTTGAAATTATGTCTTAATTAAAAATTAAAATATATTTTAAAAAATAGTACTAAAAAGTTTGAGAAACAAAAAATCTGAGAAGAAAATTGGAAGATGTGTTAGAAAGTGAAGTTTTTTTTTCTTCTTGTTAGTACTGGATCAAACCCAGGGATTCTCTGTTACTGAGCTAACATCTCCAGTACTTTTTATGTTTTATTCTGAGCCAGCATCTTGCTAAATTGTGCAGGTGGGACTTGAACTTTCAATCCTCCTGCCTCAGCCTCCATCAGCCTTGTGTTTCTAGAGTGAACAAAGGTCTAGCGAATGCCTACTATGGGCCAGACAATGCTTAGGAGCTGAGGGAAGGACTCTGCCCACGCCAGGATGTTCCATGCCCTTGTGCCCTACAGTGTGACACAGACTTCTCCCTGAAGAGGTAGAAGCTCTGTTCCTGCACCTGAATCAGGGAGACCTCTGCCTGTGGTGGAAGTGACACGTCATATTTAAGGTGATCTCATAAACCAGAGACAGCATTTTCCCGTCCTTTCTTGGGACATGTGCCTTGAAAGCCCTAGGCTTCCTGCCACCCAGGCCACTTTGCTGGCGAGACCAGAGAGAACAGGAAGAGGCCCAGAGAGTCTGACTGTTCCGCCCCCACCCGGCTTCCACTGAGGGCCTGGAGATAAGCTATCCCTGCTGTGCCTTATCTAAACGCCTGACCTACACAATCTGTGAGCAGAATAAATGGTTGCTTTATGCAGTAGGCTTAGTGGTGATTTGTTACATCACCATCATAACTAAAACAGCTGTTTGCTAGTTGAGCAGAAGGAAGATAAGCTGTGCACAAACAACCGAGATATTGTCAAGCATGGCTGCAAGGAGCTAAAATTGTGTCTAGGATGAGGGAAGAAGAAGCAGCCCTCCCTCAAGGACTTCCTCAAGGAAATCCTGGCAGAAGAGAGAGCACTGTGCTGTGGAGACCTGAAAATATGAAAGGGCGCAGAGTGGGTGTTCTGGAGTTGAGGTGACAGCAAATGCAAAGGCCCAGGGGCAGGCTGAAGCGTGGCATGATCAAGGAACTGAAAAGCGGCTGTGCTTCTAGAGTGCAGCGAGTGGAAGGCAACCTTGCAAGAGGAAGTCAGAATGAGCAGGAGACCTCACACAGGGGCTTGTATGCCAAAAGTGCTGATTTTTATCCAGGTATAATGTCCATTGTGTAGCAAAGGGAATGAAGGGTAGGAGCTGAAGCAGGGAGACTAAAGAGGAAACTGGCCTGGTCCAGGGACTACAGAAGGCAGCTGGTGCTGGTTAGGAGTTGGGAAACATTGTATCAACCGCGATCTCTAACAAACCCTGTGAGGAGTGGTCAGCAGTGCTTCGTGCCCATTGGACGATGTTATTCTCACAACAAAGAGGTGATGCACTTTGTACTCTTGCACCAGATAAAATTCCAAGTGCTGCGCCCGGTAGGTAAGTGGTGGGTGGCCAACGGTCCCGACCTAGTAAGGCCGCGTGGTGCTGCCTCTCTGGAAGAAAGCTGGCACAGGATTCAGGACATTGAGGACAAGGAGGAGATAGGACTCACGGAGTGACTGGATCTGCAGACAGGGAAAGAGATCTCAAGGAGGAAGCCTCGGATCTCACAGGGATAATTAGGAGGAAAGGGGGCCATGCACTAGGATAAGGAACACGGGGGTGAAAAGGTACAGGACAAGGAGAGACGGAATTGTAAGAATAAGCCCTGGAATGAACAATGAATAGAAGAAAGAGCAGTCGCGGTGGTGCACACCTGCCACGCCCACACTCTGAGAGGCTGAGGCAGGAGGACCACAAGTTTGAGCCCAGCTTGGGCAACTTAATGAGACCCTGTCTCAAAATAAGACGTAATTTTTAAAAAATGACTAGGTATATAGTTCAGTGCAAAGGCCCTAGGTTAATTCCCAGTACTGCCAAAAAAATTAAAAATAAATAAATAAATAAATAATAAATTTAAACAGAGGGAATAGTCAGTAATAAAATGAACATTCATCCTAAGATTGTTCAGGAACAGCGGTGCACTGATGTTAATCTAGGCTGATGTTTACGGAGCATTGAGCAACTCACTTCTGCAACAGCCCCAAGAAGTAAGGTACCGTCGTTGTTCTTTTGTTTTACCAGGGATGTACCTAAGGAACAGAGACTGCAGAGCTAGTGAGCTGGGGATGTGGAATTCAGACTCTGACCCCTGAGTTTATTAAGAAGGCCGGTGTGTGGTAGGTGGGCAGCCCACGGCCTGGCACATAGAAAGTGTCCGAACACGGTAGTTCCTATTGTTGTTATCCTAATGTGGTTGACCTTCCTTAGCGTGTGTGACCTGTGTTACCAAGCTATAGGACAGGACCTCTATCCTCAGGGAAGTCGCCATCACCATGCCTACAGCAAGCCCAGACTAGCACTCATGAAGCCTGGAATTATTCAGCATAAGTGCCAGGCAGCAAGGGATGAAGTGCGGGAGGAATGGCTGTGTCTGGCAATGCTGATCTTTCCAGACATGTGGAGGACTATGAAGACCTTGTGCCAGGACTATTACCCCCATGCTCCCTGGGAGGTTCCTTCTCTGTAATTCATCGCACCCTGTCAGGACCCAAACCAAATGTCAGAGATCGGAGTAGTGGCATTTACACTGTTTTAATTACCTAGCAAGATTGCTGTTTGTGGACTTGTTAAGTAGTTCCCAAACAAAGCAATGGAATTTAATGGTTCCACTGTGCAACAAAATTCACCTCCCTCCTGCTCTCCTATTTTCCTTTCTTCTTTGGTGGTGTGTAGGGGAGGTGGTGAAGATGGACAATAAATTTTTAGTGTAATCAGAACAAATTTCTTTAAGTTTTGATACAAGAAAAATATGAGCTGTTCCCACCATATTTGCTTTTTATAAACTGGTTTTCTCTGTGGTTCCTCAAATGCCAGGGATGCAGAGCATTAAGTCAAGCTATATTTGGGGAGCTTTTCATATCTTTTTTTAAAAATCCCTAAAATTTAGAAATAAAAATCATTTAAATATGAAACAATCTCACATGACCTCAGCCCTTTAACAAAACTACTAATATTATCTTGGTGTGTTTTTTGTAGTTGTTTTTCCCCTATGCTTACTTTACATAGTTGTAATTCTATTGTATTTATGATTCACATCCTGTTTGTGTATGTAAATGTTTATCAGGCACAACTTTCTTTGCTGCATAATCTTTTATTGGAAGAGTCCATTAAATAAACATATCTTAATTTCTAAACCAAGTAACTAAATCACATTCAGGTTTAAAAAATGAATACATAAAACAAAGTATGAGTTAAATACAATAGTGTTACTCCTTCCCCAGTGTAGGACCTCAGCAAGAACTCAGTGCAGGGGTTGAGGTCGAGTGCTCTGGCTCTAAAGTAGGACCTGATTCAAGTCTTAGTCCTGCTAAACAGGAGATTAGGGTGTGGCAAAGCTGCTGGGCAAGTGGATGTGACCTGTCAATCATGGAGACCCAGGAGACATGGACCTGGAACCAATATGAAGTGTTATATTCATATTAAAACAGAAATGCTAAATATACTGGAAGAGAGGATAGGCAGAACTCTTGAAGACATAGGTATAGGCAGAGACTTTATGAGCAAAACCCCAATCACACAGGAAATATTACAAAGAATCAACAACCGCGATTGTATCTTATTAAAAAACCTTTTGCACAGCAAGAGAAACCACCAACAGAGTGAAGAGACAACCCTCATTGTGGGAAAAAATTATTGCTAGCTGTTCTTCAGACTAAGGACTAGTATCTAGAATATATAAAGAAGTTAAAAAAATCAGACTCCAAAATTTAAAGACCCAATCCAATAATAGGCATCTGAAATGAACAGATGCGTCTCAGATAAAGAAGTACAAATGGCAAATAAATATCTGAAAAAATGTTCAGCATCACTGGTCATTCTAGAGATGCAAATTAAAACAACACTGAGATTTCATCTCACTCCAGAAAGAATGGCTGTTATCTTGAAATCAACTAATAACAAATCTTGTTGGGGCTGTGGGAAAAAAGGAACCTTTTCCCACTGTTGGTGAAAGTGTAGACTGGTGCAAGCACTTGGAAATCAGTGTGGAGATTCCTCAAAATACTAAAACTAGAGGCTCCATTTGACCCAGCTATTCCCCTTCTTGGTATCTTCTCCCCAAAATTAAAAGCACCGTACCACAGCAATATATGCACATCCATGTATATAGCATCACAGTTTGTAATAGCTAAATCTTGGAAATACCCCAAATGCACATCAGCTGGTGATTGGATAAAGAAGATATGGTTTTTTTTTTAAAAAAATGGAGTACTACTCAGCCATAAAGAAAGATAAGCTGGAGACATTTATAGCTAAATGGATGCAACTTGAAGCCATACTCTTAAGTGAAGCAAAGAGGACACACGTGTGTAAATAATGGATTGTTTCTCTGGTGTGAGAAAGGATAAATAAGGTCCAAAATGTATAGTAGAAATTGGGAAATAGGAAGGGGAATGAGAAGAGGGGGGCAGAGAGGGGAAGGAAGGGAAAAAAGAGAATAGAAAAAAAACATTTAAACAGCTTTTGTAAATAAGGAGGGGAAGAGGAGTTGAAAGGAAGGTAGGAGATCGGGAAAAAGGAATCAAGATGTATTATGTACAGGTACAAGCTCCCTCGGATGCATGTGATCACTGCGGATGTCTGAAATGTGTCAGTGACATTCATTTCAAGAAATGCTTGTGTTCTCTTCAGTTCTTCTCCCCAGAACCCGAGCCAGTTTTTGATAAGATGGCCTGGCGAAGACCTCAGCCTGAGGAGAGGAAGATGAAGAGAGGCCCCATTCAGCTCTGGGCCACTGTGCCTCTTTCCCAGGGGTTTGCTCTCACACTGTCCAGTGTGCTGCTTTTCTCACTTTTAATTGGCCAGCACTGGCTCTGCAGAGCATGTTTCTTTTCTATCTTTTATTAATGTATAATCTCCCTATGTATTTTTTTGTCTTGCCCAATTCTTTGTACAGGACAATAAGAACCTGGAAACCCCTCTAGAAGGACTCCCCGGAACCTGGTAACATGGCCACTTGTTAGCTGTGTGACTTGGGACAAGTTATTTCACCTTTCTGGACTTTAGTTCCTTCACCTCGATAATGACCACACCTACATGAGGAATGGAATGATATGCATTGAAATACCGATGGCAGTACCTGTCACAGGATGCATTTTCGGTAAATGCCAGTCATCATTACTATCATGATCAGCACCATCATTATTATTATTATTTAAAGGTCCAATACTACTAAATGTGATCTTTTTTCAATACTGGGGATTGAACCCAGGGCCTCTGCACTGAGCTCCATCCCTAGCTCTTTTTTATTTTTTATTCTGAGACAGGGTCTTGCTAAGTCACTAAGTCGCTCAGCCTGGGCCCGAACTTGTGTTTCTCCTGCCTCAGGCTCCCAGAGTGCTGGGATTACAGGCATGTGCTACATGTCCAGCCCAAAGGTGATTTTTCTGGCATCGGCAGTGGATTAGGAATGAGACAGTTGGAGCTCTAGATGAGGAGCCATGTACTTGCTGCTAGTGTCCTTACCTATAGAATGGACTGTTAAATGCCTGTCAGGTCTCTTTCAGAAAGAACTTTGAGAAAACTCTATAAAGGCGAGCCCCTGTGCTCATGAGCAGTGAGCACTCCCATGACGTCAGGGGCACAGTGGGCTGTGACCCGCACTGTCCTCACTGCTTCCGAAGCTGTCTCTGTTTCCCATTTAAGCTGCTGCTGCTTGAGAGTGATGGCCCCATCCTGACTTTTGTCCTGGGCAGCTGCAGGTGAAGGAGAGGTCTCGATGCAAAGGATTCTTCCACCTACTTAAGAATAGCAGCCACCGCAATGTACCTCCTCTGTGACCAATTTAAACTGATGGTGTTCAAAGGAAAACATTGACATTTTGAATTCTGGAGGACAGACAAAGGGTGTTGTTTTGATGACAGCATGAAGTCCCAGGATGTGGGTCATCTGGAAGTCATGCTCCAGCACCCAGGGCATCACCAGCACAGGCAGATATGGGCCAGGAGTGGGGTCGTAGTACCAGCTCCCTCTTTTGGGGGTCTTCTGCATGAAGCCACAAGGCACATATTAGGAAGGGGCAAACCTTCCACATTTGCTTCCCTTACACTCATCATCTCCCCACCATTGCTGGAAGCTGCTTCAGTGTCGGGAGGAGGGATGATTGAGGTTCTGTCTCAGAAGCTTCTTCATCGAAGTGCTATTTGCTGAGTACCTGGGCATAACTTTTGTCTTGGTGTCCTGCCGGGTTTGGAGAGTTGAACAAAGCATTGCCACTGGAGCAGACGGGACTGGCATGGTAGGCATCACCAAGTTGCAGAAGGCCTCTCTGTTGAAGTTGTATTTAACTGGAGGACAGAAGCCTGAGTGGGCAGTGCCAGGAGCACTTATAGGGAGCTGGTTAGGAGCCAAGCCATCTTCTGAGCTCTTAGTAAATGCATGGACCAGGTGTCCTGTCTGAGCCAGGGTACACTTGCTTGTAGGAACTGGATTCCTAACCAAACTGGATTAAATTTAAAGGGAGTTGGGTTTTTTGGTTTGTTTTTGTGATAGGGTCTCACTATGTATCCTAGGCTGGCCTTGAACTCACTATGTGGCCCAGGCTGGCCTCAAACTCATGGTGATCCTCCTGCCTCAGCCTCTCAAGTGTTGAGATTACAGGTGTGTGCTGCCATGCCTAGCAATAAGATTTTCAAAGGGGGTGGGATTTGCTAGAATACAAGAGAAGATAGTATCTGGCCAAGATCTTGTAGGGAATGGACATGGAAATGACTTCCCTCTCCCTACTTGGCCTCTAGAAGTGACAGTGACTATCCGCATTTTGTATCAGAGCAGGCATCACCTGAAGCTGAGGGGAAGCCCTACTAGGCCCAGGGAGCTGCCTGGAGGAAGACTCAGGCAACGGAACTATCTGAAGGATCCCTACTGACTGCTTTAGCAAGGATGGGGTGATCATGCTGAAGGTCATGAAGTACTAGCTGCTAAGCCGGAGAGTCTGCCCTCAACCCTGAAGGTGCAGATACTGTGCAGGAGGTAAAATCATTAGTCAAGCTCATATGTAGAGGATTATGCCCAGGAAAGGGTCTTCTCCCTCAGGGTTTGAGATGAATATTGGCCGTTTGTCTTGGCTACCAGCATTTGGGTGTGCTTTTTATTTGTTTGTTTTGGGAATTTTTCACTTTATGAATATTGATGTGAAACAGACTTTTGGGAAAGCTGAAAAGATGGGCATTTACTCTTTAGCTGAGACAGGGATGTGTGACCACAGTCTGAGCAATCAGAAGGTAATGTACTCATGTGACCATATCTGACCAATCAGAAGGTATTCATGTGACCATAGTCTGACCAATCAGAAGGTACTTGCATGACCTTTTGATTTTTTCATTTCCTTCCCCTTTCCTCCTCTCCTCCCTTCTTTTTCTCCTCTTCCTTCTTTTCCTCTCCTCTTCCTTCCTTCTCTTTCTCCACCTTGTGTCCTCTTCATTTACTTCCTCCTCCTCTTTATTCTTCTCCCCCGCACCCCTTTCCTTCTCCCTCTCTTTTTCCCTCTCTCTTATACAATGGAGGCCAAAGGCACTGAAAAGGCAGCAACACAAATGGTAGTATGCTCCACACATGGTGATAGCTGTGCTTTCTTCCTCTAGTCAGGTCTGCATTTTGGGGGCATTGGTCATTTTCTCCAGAATTCTACCCGAGTTCATTCTCTAGTACTCCAGCTGCATCTGAGATATTTACTAACTTTATTTTAAAATTGCTTATTGAAATAGCTATAAATGTACAGGAAGTTTCAAAGAGCGTCCAGGGAGGTCCTGGACACCTAGTTTCCCCAAAAGCTACATATTAAATAACTATAGTTAAAAACTAGGAAATCAACACTGGTAAATACGTGTGCCTGGTTCTAGGTCATCTCATCACTACTGTTAATCAAGACTCCAAACTCTTCTGAACTTTCCATACTCCTAGTCACCCCCAGACCTGGCCTGCTGTCCCTGCCTCTAACACCACTCATCTGTTTCCCATCTCAACTCTTGTCATTTTGAGAAAGTCTATTCAAGTAATACCCTAAAGTATATATTATTTTGAGACTGACTATATTTTTTACTCTATATAATGCCCTTGACATTTATCCTAAGTGTTGCATATGGCAATATAGAAATATCCCATTCTTTTTGTTCCATTCCATGCAATAGACACAGCAGTTTGTTTAACCTTTTATTGAGAGACATTTTGGCTGTTACCAATTTTTGATTATTACAGGAAATGCTGTGTGTTAGTCAGTTTACTTGTCACTAAAACACAATACTTGACATGACAATTTAAAGGAGGAGATGTTTATTTGGCTCACAATTTCAGGGGACTCAGTCCATAGTCATCTGGTTCCAAGGCAGGAACAGCATGGCACAAGAGTGAAGTAGAATAAAGCTACTTAGTTTATGGCATCCAGGCAACAGGGTAGGAGAACAGCACTAGAGAGAAAGGAATGAGAGACAAGATGTAGTCCCCAAGGTGACACCTCCATGTCCCACCCAAACACACCCAGAAATGTGCTTCACCAGGCTCTGGGTGGCTCTTCAGCCAATCAAGTTGACATAGCAAAGTCTAATACCACATGCTACTATGAAAATCATGGCTTTTTAAGGGACATAAGGTTTCATGTCTCAAGGACAAATGTCTAAGGATGCAACTCTGGGGCCCTAGGGTATACTTAGTTTTTCTTTTTCTTGAAGCTATCAAGCTACTTTCTATAGCAGAAGTGCCATTTTCCATGCCCATCAACAATGTAAAAGACATCCAGTTTCTCTTCATCTTTCCTGGCATTTACTATTATCACTGACTTTTATTTTAGCTCTTCTAATACAGATGTTGTGATAACTCATTGCAGCTCTCATTTGCATTTCTTTAATGATTAGTGATGCTGGACATTTCTCATGTGCTTATTTGCCATCTGTATATCCTCTTCTGTGAAATAGCTTTTTATAGGTTTTGCCTATTGTCTGATAAAATTGTCTTTAATGTTGAATTTTGAGAGTTCTTTGTATACTGACAGTTCCTGCCTTACAGTGGTTCAACAATGGTTAACAATTTTTCAGCTTTTTGAGGATGTGAAAGAAATATGTCTTAAGTATAAACTGTACTTTGAGTTTTGTATTTTTGTCTTCTTCAGCCTGGGGACATGTGGCACAATACTCACTCCTGATACTGGGCAGGAGTAGCAAGCCAGATCCCAGACAGCCACATGGTCTCCAGGGGAAACAACTGACACTGTACAGTGGACCATGCTATCAGTGTTTTTGGATAGTGTGTTTTATGTTTTCACATCATATCATGTCTACAACACACCTATCTGTGTATGTACATGAGATGTTCAACACTTTATTATAAAATAGGTTTTATGTTTGAAAATTTTGCTCAATTTTAGAATAACTGTTGCATGCATAATTAAGACAGGTTAGGGTAAACTATGTATGGTTGGTAGGTTATGGGGATTAAAGCTGTTTTTTGGTTGGTTGGTTAAGACAGTGCCTTGCCAGGTTAGCCTGGAATTTTCTATGTAGCCAGGCTGATCTCAAACTTGCAATTCTCTTGTCTCAGCCTCCACAATGCCGGGATTATAAGCATGCACCACCACACCTGATAATAAAATGCATTTTTAATTACAATATGTGATGGTTGATTGATTGTGTCAACTTGAGTAAGAGAAGCTCAACTACATTGGCTCAGCAATTCCACACCCTAAGGTGGGAATTAGCATGGCTTGTTGCCTTGATGATGAAAAGGGAAATGAAGAAGGACAGATCTGCTTCTGTTTCTTTGGAGGAACTCCATTCTTCACCTTCACTTTGGGTACTATCTCCTGACTTCCAATGCAGACTCTTCAGCTTCTGGTGCAGATGTTTCAGCTTTCTGTTGCAGAGCCTCATCCTTCTGGTGTAGACTCTTCAGCTTTCCATCGCAGACCCATTGGGCTCTTAATATAGACTTGCATGAGACACTGCAGTGAGCTCCAGGCCTTCAACTGGATCCTTCAGATCTCCAGTGTGCAAACAGAACCCCTGCACTCTTCCACATCCAACTCTGTGGGTGGCCATTATAAGTCAATCTTGTAAATTCGTATATATATGAATATGAATATATGTGAATATATATATGAATATATATATCATGTATTATATCTATTTCTCTAGTAAACACTGACTGATATCAAATTTGGTATCAGGAGTGGGGTCCTTGCTGTGACTGTATCTGACCATGAGGTTCAGGAGACTTTGAAACTGGTTTGTGGGAAGTGTTTGGAAAGGTTCAAAGATGCTGGCTAAAAAAGTAGCCCTGAAAAACTTTAAGCTGTACTTGATGGGAGATTCTGGCTAGAGTTCAGAAGAACAGAATCTTGATAGAAATGATGCCGGTAAAGACCAGGCTCAGGAGGTTTCTTCTGGGAAGAAAGATTCCATTGGCTGTTGGACCCCAAAAGATGTGTGTTATGGCTTGGCAGAAAGTTTATCTGCATTTTGCTCTGAGACTTTGCTCAGAGACTTTATCTGAGACTGTGATTAAGGGCAGTGGACTAATTAATCTTGCACAAGAAATTTCAGAGCAGTGTAATGTTAAGGCCATGGCATGGCTACTGTTGGGGGCTTTTAGTCAGATTTACATTGAGAATCAAGAGCAAAGGGCCCAGCAGAATGATTTGAAACATTTTGAGTTTGACAAGAAAGGGAGCTCCAGTAAAATTATAGCCTGGAAAGCTGGAACAAAGGAGAAACTGGTCACTGAAATGACTAGCAAGAAAAAGCCAAGTATTTCAAAAGAAGACAACAGAAAAGATGGCCTGAGGATATCACAAAAACAAAAAAAAACACCCTCAGATTTGCAAAAGTGAAAGACTGCTTTGAGAACAGCGCCTCAGAGTACCATGTTCCAGAATGGTGGCAGGCTACAGAATTTGTTGCTTAGAATTAGGTTCAGAGTGCTACATTATCTAGGCACCTGACCCCTACAGCTAAAAGAGAAGAAAGCCTGGCTACTGCTCCAGCTGGCAGTAGACCTTGGCGTCATCCACGTGTTGCTGGCTTTAGGTGCATGGAGAATGCATGAGTTGTGGGGTCAGGAAGGCTTCCACCCGGATTTCAGAAGAGGGCCTGGGAGGCCAGGCAGTGTGCCCCCAAGAGGTCAGTGTGTTAAGGTGTCAGTGTGAAGCTGAAGGTTCAGTGGTGACCCTAGAAGTTTGGGGAAACCAGGAACCTCAGTCGTCTAAGGAAAATTGCTAGGAGGGAGCAGAGTCTTCCCAAGAGAAAAGCCATTGAAGCAACAACCACTGGAGGTGCTATGAGGATGGAGCCACCCAAGCTCTTTGGAGTCCTCAAATTGCCTTGGGTGTTGGACATGGAACTATAGGAATTAATGTTTGTCCTGTCAGATTTTGGACTTGCTCTGGTCTCATTCCTTTGCATCCTCTTGTTTATACTTTTTGGAATGGAAATGTCTATCTTGTACCATTGCATGTTGGAAGTGTTTAACTTTCTTTTCATTTGTACAGGGGTTTGCAGATATGAGTTTGCCTTAATCTCAAAGGAGACTTTGGACTTGGACTTTTCAGCAATGCTGAAACTGTTAGGACTTTGGCAATTCTTGGACATGGACTCAATGCCTTTTCCATAAAGGGATATGCATGAGTCTTCTGGGGGCCAAGGGTGGAATGTTATGGTTTGTGCCGAGATGTCCCCCTAAAGCCTCAGGCAGTCATAGGTGGAACATTTTCAGAGGTGGCTGAATCTAGAGTGTGATTGATTCATGGTACAATGCTAGGATTAAAGGTGCCAGGATTAAGGGTGGGTGATTATTAAGTCACTTCACTGATTGGTTTGGCACTGCCCTAATCCCAGTAGCCTAGACAGAATATAAAAGAAGCAGAAAAAAGCTACTTTGCTACCTTGCTTTGCTACCTTTTGCCCACCATGAACTGTTTCTCCTCTATGATGCCTGTCTGCCATGCTACTCTGCCTTGAGCCAGCTGGTTATGGACGGAAACCTCTACAAACTGTGAGCTCAATAAACCTTTCCTCCCTTAACTTGTGGTATTAGATATTTTGTCTCAGCAATAAGAAAAGTAACTAAGACTATTTATTACTTCTCATAGGATCATCAGTGTGTAACCCCCTTATGAGTAGAGGATCATCTGTATTATTATAAAAATGAGACTTTTGTCAGATGTGGTTTGTACACATTTTATCTTATCCTGTAGCTTGTTGCTTATTTCTTAGCAGAGTCTTGTGCAGAGCAAAAAATTATATTCTAAGAAAGCCCAATTTATCTTGATTTTATTTTATGGGCTGTGCTTTTGGAGTCAGGTCTAAGAACTCTTCAGAAAGTCTTAGATATCAACTATTTTCTTTTATGTTATTTTCTAAAAGCTTTATAGTTTT